CATGTCGCCCAAAAGGGGCTTCCATGGAGAGCTGCTCATCCTTGTACACCTGCCCAGACACTACCGGAAACTGCTTCAACATGGAGCCTCGAACAGCTATCTGCACTTGCGCATCCGAAGGCTTGAACGCGCGGTGGGAAACCATGACGGTCATGGCCAGAGCCTTATAGCGACGGATGTATTCTCCGTAAGTCTCGCCGTTGGATACGCCAAAACTGCGAAGACGATCAATCCCCGAGCTCTTGTCTTGAGTGTCCCAGGCGGCCGCCAATTTCTGGATGAAGAAGGCGTACGTCGAGGGCCCTGCCGGTTCCTTGCGCAGATGGTTTTCTACCTGTAGGAAGGTGGCATCAAGAAATTCCAGAGTGGCACGGTTGGTGGTTTGGCCTTCAACGACAGCAGCACGGACACGTTTGCGCAACAACGGAAGCCATCCGGTGACCCAGGTGGAGGAATTGAAAGTCTGCTTGCGCTTGACGTCGCTTTTGTTGAGGATCTCTGTGACCACACCCTTGCAGCTAGACGCGAAGCGAGCAAATTCATCAGGATCAGGACCGAGGGGCAAGCGTGTGACACTATCAAGTTGTTCCGGCTTCAGCTTGTCCATCTTGTCTTGAATGCGGATGGTGTCGGCCTCCGCTGCAGCGGCGTCCGCAGCGTGCAGAGCCTCCTGTCTCGCTCTCGCTCCCGTGGAAGACAAAGGCAACCCAGCATCGTCCTGTGGCACCGGTGATGCCGCTTGACTCGGTGGCTCGACGATGTGGCCGGTTGCAGAGTCAGGATCAATCAGAACAGACGCACGCTGGAGGGGGGGGGGCGATACCACCAAAGGCTGTTGCAACAGGGCTGGGGCTGTCGACGCTGACTGTGCCACCGCAGGCTCGACCGGTACTGTCGCCGACCTCGTGGCTGATGACGATGATGCTGGCGTGGTCCTGGCAGCGGTTTCGGCACGAACATCGCGTCCCACAGGAGCTCCCGAAAAGCTCGAAGCGTGGTCTTGCATCGGTGTCGGACGCGTTGGTGGGGAAGAAGATGGGGCAGGTGGTGGCACGCTAGGAGCGTGGGGGGGCACAGGAGGTTGTACATTCGCGTCGGCAGCAGCATCCACTACTTGATTTGCTCGCAGGAGAGTGAGTACTTGTTCCAACAGCATTTCAGTACGGGAGGCCGAAGTCGAGGCGTGTGATGCAGCATGGCGTGGTGACTCAACAGGTTCGTCCAAAGGCAAGGAAGATGTGGGATGATCCATAACGGCATGGGCAGGGGCATGGCTTTTCACAGCGGCTGAACGTTCACGAAGTTGCATGTTGGCAAGTTTGAAAGCCAAAGAAGACCTGGTCGGTTGGCCTACATCAGCGGGAGGGCGTAGAGCAAGCGGTGAAGAACAGAGAGAACCGTCTTCTGAAGCATCCTTGCTTTCCCCCAACAACCCAGAGCTACGAAAATCACCTCGATCATACATCACTTGCCTGTTACCGTGGCCTGACCTCCGTCTCCCTTTTCCACCGCGACTGCTGTCAGTGCTGGTCGCCCTGCTATTGCCCCCGCTCTGGTTCTGGCTCCGGCTGCGGCTACGCCTAGACGGAGGCGTGTTTCTCCCACGACGGTCTCCGCTCCGGCTGCGCCCACGCCTAGACGAAGGATTGGTGCGCTGTTGTCGCTCTGCGCTCCGACTCCTGCTCCGGCGATGGCGACTCGCCGGCGAAGACCTCGTAGGCTGGTTCCCCACGGTTCGCCCTCGCCTGTTATCTCCGACGCCGCGCCCTCGCGAAGACTGGGTGAAGCGGTGGTGGTCGTCCGTCCCGCTCTTGGCCGTCGAATCCCGGTCGCCCCAACGGTTCTTCCAGCTCTTGGACACCGGAGCCGCCGACCTACTGAAATCCTTGTCCTCTCCAGAACCATGTGCAGGGCGTGAAGAGGCCTGCCGGGGGGCTTGTAGATCGTGCTTGAAGTCGTTGGTCGAAGCAGCACGAGCAAGAGGCAGCTGGAGTCCTCCCTCCTGGGTCACCACCGACGTTCCTTGAGGACCTTCATGAAAGGTGGCACGACGGAGAGCGAACAACAGCTGGAACACGGACTGCCGCGAAGAAGGCGGAAGTTTCGCGAGGTACGGGGTGTGGTAGATGTGCCCGAAAGCAACGGTGTGCGGTGGGGGGAATTGTGCACGGACAAGTTGTTTGATGCCAGCCCATGCAAAAAGAGCTGCCAATTTATCTTCGTCGTGGAAGGTGACACCTTCTGCAGGCATCTCTAGCGGGCGGGACAGGAACGCTGTATCTCCCACGTGGAACTCGTACACCGTGGTTGCCGCCGCAAACGATGCCCCGTCTTCAGCACCAGCCGGAAGACCCAAAGTCACCGAAAACTCCGGAGTCGCTGTCCTCTTCCGCTCCTGCTCGTTCGTCGGAGACGCCGCCACCTCGCGCTCCTTCTCGTGCGGCGAGGCGGTACGATGGGAACCAAGGTGCACCTGGGATTGCGTGGGGGGGGGGACGATAACACGGCGACGGGGGTGGGGGGCTGCTCGCGGGTCCTGGTGGCGGGGCTCCAGCTCCTTCAGCCGCGATCGGAGCGCCCCCTGCTTCGCCCTAGCCGCTTGGAGATACGCCTCACGCTCCGCCAGAACAGCCGCACGCTCCTCCTCCTGCTTCCTCGCCGCAGCAGCCAGAGCAGCCTCACGTTCCTCCTCCTGCTTCCTCGCCGCAGCAGCCCGAACAGCCTCACGCTCCTCCTCCTGCTTCCTCGCCGCAGCGGCCAGAGCAGCCTCCCGTTCCGCCAAGCGCTCCGCGTCCTCGCGCTTCGCCTGCTCTCGCGCCTCCGCCTCTGCTATCTTCCCGGCAAGACCGTCGCACCACATCTCGTTCAACCTTTGGTACGCCATAAACTCGTCGTGGGGCAAGAGGATTAATCTGTCTTCCGGCGGGAGCGAGAAAGGAGGAACGAAAAGGGGGGAATCGGACGACAGATGGGCCGCTTCTACGATATCCTCCAGAGAGACACGTCCGGTGTTGTAGGCCCGCTCCAGTTCCGCCGGATCTGCTGTGGCGATGTTGTCCAGCAAATCATCGACGGTGAACACCATGGACATGGGGGGGCTCTCGTCTTCTGCACCCGCCGCTGGAAACTGCTCTGCGGTGGGAGCCTCGCCCTCGGGTTCGTAGTCGAGGATTTCCACATTGTCGCCCAGGAGTTCCACGTTGCCGCTGGACATGGTGTCCTCTTTGTTAACAAGAACAGGGCCAGAGAGAGGGTAGCTACGATCGATTTTGGAAAGGGCAGCAGGGCCAGAAACAGTAGATGTAGGATAACCAACCGCAGTTGAGGCAGCAGCACCAAGAGCAGCAGAAGCAGTAAAGCCGGGTGCAACTTCGGGAAGAGCAAGCCGAGGTCCATGCGAAAGGCGGAGATATCCACAAGATAGCATACGCCCAGTGATAAAAGCTTGGTGCACACGAGGTTGAAGCGGATCCAACCAAGCAGAAAAAGCGTCCAAAAGCACACCATGCCACGCACAAACAGCAGTAGAAGCTAGCACAAAAGGGCCCGTGTTGCATGGAGACACGAGGTTTTCCGACCAAAAGACACGCAGAGCAGCACGGCGTTCCTCCGCAACTGGTGCCGAAGTGCGAGCAAAGACCGCTGTGGGTTTGCGCTGTTGAAAGGTTTCCAATTCAAATGCTTTGAGGGTGAACGATTCCCCGAAAAAAAGTGCAATGTGATTTCGAAAAATGGAGGGAAGGCTGGTGGGGCGGCTGACACCCAATTTCTGTGCACACATCGCGTTCCAAGTCGATGCAAGCGGAGTCAAATCGGACAGCACAACAGGAAAATCCGCGGACATCGGCCGGTACGCCGGCATGAACGCAGTAGAGGTGGTAGCAGACGTGGGAAGCATGCTGTCATCTCGGGTCCCACTACACAAGACCAGCATCTCAGGTCGCTCCATGCAGAGGGTATCCGCCACAGAAATCACTTCATGGACCGCCGATGCAGACAAAGTAGCTTTCGAGGGACGGCGAACGTACGAAAAATCACCCAAAACATCGCGATGGCCTCCGAGGCGCGTATCCTTTGCAAGGTCCCAGTCCCGCGGGCGCTTCGCAAAAGCATCACAAGCCTGCATCTCTACAGGAGAGGAAGCAGAGAAGAGGCTAAGTCTAGATTCTCGTGGGTGGTGAGACCAAATAACAAGCAACCCGGTGGTTGTGAAAAAAGCGTGGCAACAACACACAGCAGTGTGGAAGCCGCGTCCAGCACACGCTTACCGTATAATGCCAGCTGACGCCAAGTTTCAAGGTGTGAAGCCGTGAGCGGTAGCTTGCTCCTAGAGATAGATGAAGGCTCTGTCGTTGACACGCTTGTCCACGACCACGTTGAGATGGGAAAGTTGCTTGTTATTGCTGAGAGACGATCAGCAAAGGTCTGGGATGAAGTGGGGATCCAACTTCATCTCAAGGGGTACACAGAGTAACAATTCTAAGGGGGTAGGGGTCAGAAGGGTATACTTCCTGACCGACCCGCATCCTATCAACAATAAAATGTGCCATATTCATGCTAGCAGCCACACGCCTTAACACCGACGTGATATTTCATTTCATCCGCGGATTGTTGATGTCGGGGGATGTTTCGGTCAAGTTCGTTCCGACAACGGAGCAACACGAGGACCTCCTAACCAAGGCCCTTATCAGGGCTAGACTGCAGTACCACCGGCGCAAGTTGATGAATTTGCCTTGAGTAGCTGTAGCAGTTTCTAGCACTTCGGAGATGTCATATTTTCCATGCGGGGAATGGCGCATAACGTTTTTTTTTTTTTCCCCCATCATTGGACTCTGTCTTCTGCCCCTCTGGCCCCTATCCTCCACTTCTACTAGCTAGACGACCCAACCGGGGTCACATAGGAGGGAGGGGCTGGACCCCCTCCTGCGGTTCCTGGCTGGGATATTTTTATCTTGAGAAGGGTACAGCAATCCGTTCCCTCGCGACTTACAAAGTATAACTGTTGCATTCTGTGCACCAATGCTAGAAGTAGGGGGCGTTGGGAGACCATCGTCCGGGGGAACGTAGTTCCTTGCGTTCTTGTCTTCGCCTTGGCCTTTCTAATAAGTGCGGCCGTTGTGGTCCGCTGTGATGGAGACGATTTTTGTGGTGGTCGGGTTTTGTTCCAGGCGTTTTGCCCGGACGCCGGGTTTCCGCTCCATATATTGCCATGCTGGTATTCTCTGATGTATCCAGGGGCGTTCTTGCCCCATTGATGGCAAAGTCAATTGCGTGAAGAACCAGGGAGGGTGTTCGTGGGTGCGCACATTGGTGTTGGATACATGTGCTGTATAATTTGGTGTCACGTAGACTGGTAAGATTGCCGTTTGGTAGGGGGCACCGTCATGATTCACGGGGCCCCTCCTTGCTGGAGCCGCTCTTTGAGCACTCCCTTTTTCGTCCGTGTGAAGGACGGTCGTCTACCTCTCGTGAAGTTAATACGTGACCAAAACAGTCTCACCCGATAAATAGTCTAAGTGACGTAGGCAGCAAACAAGACTAGTCTGCGCTGTAGATAGATAGTCTAATGGTTTGATTTCGGCTTCGTCCATATCTAACTGGTATTTATTATCCGCTTCATCCATCAGGTCACCGCCCCCAACTACAACACATCCATCATCCTCAACCACACACATACATACCCTCCCTGGAGAAAAAGGGAAAGGGCTTCAGATGAGGCCGGGGCTACCCCCGGGGCATTATGTACACAACGTTCGCAACATCTTAGCAAGACTCAGAAGATGTCTGCTCATGGGCTACCTCGCCAGAGTCATCGTTGTCGTCTGTACACAGCACGAGGATTGCAGCAGCAATGCATCCAACAGTGGTACACAGAATTCTCATCAGAAGGCCTAGAAGATGCAAGGACAAGAGGGGTACACACGAACGACTAAAGGTTACACATACACGACCCTGCTTGCTTGCCTATAGTACCTCTTTTTTCAACGGGGAGCGCAGCCCGACTTCCACCTTCCACCTCGCGAAACTGGCGAAACCCGAAAAAAATGAACATGGCGCCCCCTCCCGCTGGAGACAGGCACGTAGTACATGGAACTCCGATTCTCACGTACGTACTGCGGGAACTGCAGGTTTGTTGTAGCACTCTCGTCGCGCGGCCGCCATCAGACGCTGCGCTTAAGTACCGTTCAAAGGGCGACCAGTACGAACGGTGCATTTGTGCGTGGCTCGGAGTGGAACGGTCGGTGGTCGAGATGTTGCCTCATCTGGGGAACGAGAGAACTGCATGCGAAAGCAACTAGCCCCCCACAGCCACACCCACGGTCACAACGGCGGTATGTTGATCTTCGTACAGCACACAGCCACGGCTTCTTTCGCGGACGCTTCAAGGGAGACAAGCAAGAGGGGTGTCGCAGTAGGCTATTGCTTAGTAGAAGAACAGAGAGAGTTACAAGGTGCACCCAGAGGTAAGCATGCCCCGTCCCTCAGACTCCATTTTTGTTCGTGTTGAGTTTTTTGTTTTGTTTTTTGCCCTTGACATTCCTGCCAAGGTCGCACAAGAAACCACACCCCGTATGGGCCGTATTTCAAAACCCGACTACGGTAGTACTCTACGCCAAAAACGGAGTGGTGGCGCCAAAAATGGAGGCTGGAACCGTCTCGTCGAGCGCTTTCTTTCCGACAACATATCGTGGTGGAGCAGAGGAGAGTCAAGCTAAATTCGATTCTAATGGTAGAATGATCGGTCCAGGGGGTATGATATCTTGCGTGACTTACTTGTACTTTTACACATATACCTGTGCAAGCTTGCCGCGTTCTATGCGTTCTCCAGCCAGATCGTAGCAGGGAGTGATTGGTGTGCACGATTGATTGCGTTGGGGTATCCCTACGCGCTGCGACGACCCGCGAATCACGGCTACTTTACTCATGGTTGTATGCTTGTGTACCGCATGTGTGTAGACTAGACTGATGTTGCTGCCCACATTCCTTTCGTTGTCCGCTAAGACACCTCAGCGGACTGAACACACAGCTGCTGGGTATCTTCTCCCCGTTCACCCGGTTGGACCGCATGGCACGGAAATCACACCGCTTGCTCATGGCATGGATAGCGATACCGTTGGGCTTCCTCGGTTGGGAATGGCGTATCTTCTTTTCTTTTTTTTATCCCAAGTGAGGAATGTATAGAAATCGAACGTTGAAACACCAACACATTTTTTCGCGCAACAGCGGGTCAGCACCAGACCTCCTGATGTACTACATGACCATCATCAAAGCAACTAGGTGTGTAGACTGTATGCATCGAAGGTTGAAACATGTATTCGCTTTTTTAATGCTGTACTACAATGCGTCAACACTAGACCTCCTCCTGTACAACATTGCCACCATCAAAAACACAATCCTCAACGCAGCAGGGTTGATCAAATATGTCGAAGTCCTTGCCTATTCTTGTGTGGTGGGTTCGTTGTCGAGACTTGGTGTGCGTAGCGTGTGTTCTCTTGCGTGTTTGTTCTCTCTGATATTGTTTTTCCGACCGCCTCGCCTCCTCTTCTTTTTGTGTGTTTCCCGACACAATTGTCTGTACACATCGGGGCGATGACGATGAGTAAAAGGTTTGAGCGCCCACCTTTGCATTCCAAACGCCCTCGTGACCAGAGCATGCCGCTGCATCGCACCCAAAACCAACCATGGGTGCACATTGGACACGGACAGAGAGAGGGGTGGCGGGGGGGGGCACGCGGGCGGTGTTGTTTTTCCGCACCCCTCTCCTGTCTCCCGCCTCTTCTCTTCTTCTGCGGGTCAAAAGAAAATGGCTACGCCGAAGTTACCGCTTGGTTCCACCCGCACAAAAGAAAGTGGGCACTATTTGTTTGGTCCCAAACCGCTGGTCCTCCGAGACCCCCCAGGGGATTTTGTAGGAAGCAATCCTCTGGGATTACTCGGGCTGCTGTTCCGTCTTATACCTTCGTGTTTTTATCGCGAAATCATGAGAGTAGGAACGGGCGGAGCAGGCCAGCGGACACGATAAAAATGTCGGGACGTTTGCAGCGGAAGCTTTGCGGGCGGCGGGGAGGGCATGATCGAATTTAGGCGAGACTGAGCCCCGAAAAGTTGTGTCAATGCGTGCTATTTTCTTTGGCAGGGACCTACAGGCAGGTAGATGTGTAGATGTGCAGACCCATCCTGCTGTCGTCATTGTTTTCGCTGTTGTTGTCTTTGCTGTTGTTGTTATTGTTTGCGGTGTCGTTATTGTTGTTGTTCGAAGTCGTATGCTGCGTGTCACGGAGGCAGCACGAGCAGACGACACATGCATCACATCAAGCGTGCACCTCCTGGGTGTACGAGCCCGGCCATGTGGCTCTATGCCCTTGGTACGGGTGCCTTTGAAAGTTGCTGTGAATTGAGTGTCCCTGTTTACTTTGCTCTACAGTAGCACGTGTGTTTTTGTTGTTGCTGACTGGCGTGTCAGCCTTCAACCCCAGCCACAACGAATTCAACGCGTAAAGCCATGTCATGGCCTGAGCCACTCACGCACCCACCCACCCACACTTGGGGTGCAAATTTGAAGTTCGTCCGGTCGCGCCGCGGTTCGCACTGTATGCATGCAGTAGATAGGCCCCTGTTTAATGATGGTATTATGTGCCCAGAATATTCACCAGCACTATTCCGAACAGAGACGTACCGATGGCATCGGTTTTTGTTTCGCGGTGGACACTCGTGTCCAGAGATTTGAACGACACTATTTAGGGCACCGGCGCTATTCAACCGCCCTCTAAACAGGAACTTCTGCTGCTGTGTTTTCAAACGCCAGCCTTCGCTTCCTGGCACAGCAGAGCGTCCTTGTTTTCAGCTACACTTTTCACACATCTCAAGCTGCACGGGCGGCTGCTCGAACAGCTCCTCGCCTGCAGACGTGCCTGCTCGCTTCTGCACATTTATTATTTTTGTTGTCCCGTTTTTGCCGGGCACCGACCCACGCCTTTCGGTAGGTGTTCGACGCGTCAGCCGGGGTCATGCAGACAGGAATTCATCCACCCTTCTTCCAGCCCTGCGCTTCGCCTTACTTCTTGGCGCGACAAGGGGTCAGCAGCCCCTTACCTGTTTCTTGCGTGTGCCGCTGCCACTGCTGTCGCTCCCCCAGTGCTGGTGCAGCTGCTGCTGCGTCCAAGCATGCGGAGACTCGCCCCAAATCACCGTCGTGGTCTTTTTCACGGTCAATCAGCAGCTGGCGGAGGAATAGAAGATCATGGCGAGCGGGGATACTAGGGGAATGCTGAAAGCCCTGGCTGCCATGCTAAAGGACACGGAGACTAAAACAAGAATGGTCCAAAAGGTGCGTAAACACTAGTATCGCTGCACCAGATATGTGTCACACGCTAGCTGCGGGCGCGCGCGCGCCAACGTGCGTGCGTGCGTGCGTGCTTGTGTGTGTGTGTGTGTGTTTTGTTTTTACCTGCATACCAGCTGCAAACACGTTTGTGTCGCGCTGGTTCATTGCCTACGTGATTTCGATTATCGAGGCATGCTTGATTTCGGTTTCATCTGGGTTTGTGGATGCGGGGATTTGGCGGTACGTGGAGCCAATTTTTGTGGCATGATGTATTTTTTTCTCGATTGTATCGCCGGCCCCGGTTCTCGCAGGTGGGATGCTTCTTGCGCTTGTTAGTGGGCGACGACAACGGCCTCTTCTTGGACTTGACAGGGGCCGCAACAGGGGCAGGCGGTGCTGTTCCAGAGGGCGAAACGAAGGCTCAGGTGGGGCAAGCCTTCACAAGAATTTTGTTCCCATCATCCATCCCATGTGGTAGCGCTTTTCAGACACGAAGCTATCGTCCACCGGCATGGCATTTTTGCGAAGCGTGTACCTTCACCGCCTGGCACCATGTAGCTAGCCAATCGGCTGTTGACGTTGTCAGATGGCACGCGCCCGTCGATTTGCAGGAAATACATAACCGGTGGTGCGGTGACAGCGGTAAGTATTATCTGTGCGACCCACTCGTGTATGGAGCTGAAGTCGTGTTGACGCCTTGACAGCTTCTACAATGTGTGCGACCCACTAGTGTATGGAAGTAAAGTCGTGTTGTCGCCTTGACGGTGCCAAGAATACTCGTACTTCGTAAGAGTGGCATGACATGCGTCCTGTGACACGTGCTGCTCGGTCTCACCCGGCGAATAATGTGTACGGTGGAAGCCACGGGCCGTGTCTGCGGCGACGACCATGGGTTGGGCGTTGTTGGTGATGGCGATATGACATCATTGTGTGTCGGACGATTGTGGTGGTTCCTTAGTAGGTGGGACGTCTTTTTTTGTTTTTGTTTTGCCGATTGTTTAGTCACCGGTAGCACCGAATTCGCCTTGTGCGGTGTTTTTCGTAACGATGCCGACCTTCGCCCACAAGCACGCAACGAGACCGGCACATGGGTTTAATGCTTCGAAGAAGGAGCTCACATGCGAAAGCAATGACCAGCGGTCAGCGCGGCACACTTAGCCAGGTTTGCGCATGATTCCTGACCGCTCGCTACTCTGACTGATCTTGGCCGTATCTACAACGCTGCTGCTCTGTTGCTGCTGCTGCTGCTGCTGCGGCGGCGGCGGTGGCTCCGCTGCCGATGCCAGCGCTGACGATTATGATGCTACGTTGATGCCCGTTATCCCTTTCCCACCAGGCCGTTGAAGCAATCCTGCACCTCTCCGACGCCGACTTCGCGTCCGTCTGTGCCGGCCAGCTCAGCCCCGAGAAGGCCTTCATGAGAGGCCGTCTCGTCGTGAGGGGAAACCTTGTCCATGCCATGAAGTGCGGCCCGGTCTTCGAGCTCCTGCGTCCTCCTCCCCCACGAATGGCACCGCGCGTTGCGCCATCGATGGTTAGACGAGGGCCACGAGAGGCAGTCGTCGCCTCCGCGGACGGCTATCGGCGCGACTGTGATGTTGTGTCGGCTCCGGTGTATAGCCTTCTCGAGGAATTTGTGCGTGGTGTTAGCAGGGGTACGTTGGGTTGGGGGGTTTGGGAGAGGGATACGAAGCCCCCCTATCTACAGTAGAGGTCCCTATTTAGTGCCGGGGTGTGCGCCGAAATTTCACCGGCACTAAACCAGACACCGGCACTATTCGAAGTACAGCACGACTTGGTATTCCAGTGTGTGCGAGCCGAAAACACCGGCACTATAACGGCAACCGGCGCTATTCAACCGGCACTAAACAGGGACCTTTACTGTATTTCATAAACGTGTACAACAATAATCGTCAATGAGGTCCTGGCGTTGATTTTGCGTTCTTCTCTTTCTCATTGTTACTTACGAAGCGTTTCTTCAAATTGTGTGTCTTCGTTGCGCATAGAGTGTGCTTGTGCAAGCCGGGCGGGAGCAGAGGGTACGTACATGGGGCGTGTTGGCTTTTGCCTCTACTCGCACACCGGTGGTGCCCGTGTATTCCTATGAATAGATGTAATGTAAGGATGTCTTCCTGTTTTTCCAAGTAAATACAAATGTTGTTGCTGGGAAGAAGAAAAAGGGTGGGGAGGGGGGGTGTACTCATAGTCGTGCATGCCGTAGTCGTTAGACCTTTGACGTCGCATCCCTACAAAGCCGGGATGGAGCACGCCGGGTTCTCACCGGACCAGGCTCTCACATCACCAAGCGCGAAGCGCCGTGAGATATTCGGCGAGTCGCATGAAGGGTGCGCTGCATCCTGCTAAGGGTTTTCGGCATCTTGTGCTTACTTCCTTGCGTACGGGTGACAGCTCCGTATGAGTTAATTAAATTTCAGGTGCTTTCACTTCCTGAGACAGTTGGAAGCACTGCTGTGTAACTTGCTCGAGGGTGCTTGACCATTTTAACACAACGTGGTGCGATCATCCCCCTTGCGCGGAGCGAGGGTT